ATATTCGTTCTGTAGAGGGACGCGCCCGACTGAAGCCTCGTCGGACGTCGGGGATTCTCTCCGCCAAGGGCCAAGAATCACGACGCCCACCTACGGTCGGGGACTCTTGCGTAGAAGAAGGAAAAACACCATAAACGCAAACTTTTGGCGTTTCGCGCGGGTTTCTTGGATCCGCGCTGGGCCCCGCCCTGACGCACGGAGCGCGCCAGGGGCGGCGCCAGAGGCGCCGCCGGGGGGGCCCGGAGCGGATCCAAGAAATCCGCGCGGAGCGCCAAAAGTTTATGCTTTATAGCGTTTTTTCGTCTTCGATTGCTAGCGTCTCGTGGCGGCGGCCCTGGCGACACGCTATGCCCTGCGAGCGAGTAGCGTGTCGCTCAGCTCCGCGGGGCGGGAGGCTCGGGAAGCCTCGGGAAGTCGACGCTTGGGAATGGGGACGTGGATAGCGTGTCGCGTTCACCGCAGTCGGATGTCAGGGTTCTCTCTCCGCCACGAGGCACCGGCGGCGGCGGCGGCGGCGGCGACGCTCCACGGGGTAGTCCAAGTCCCCCGCGGGGCCCATGGCCCCGCGTGGCCGGGCTCTGCGCCCCGCAGGGCGATGCCGCGCGGGGGGCGCGGGGGGCGGGGGGGGGGGGGGCGGGGGGCCCAGCCTCTCGGGCCGCGGCCCCTCTCTGCTGCCTGCCTCCTGCCCTCCGCCACGAGGCACGACGCCCGCCCGTCCCCGCGCCTCGCGCTCCCCGCCGCCTGCTCGCAGCGGCTCGCCGCTCGCTCGCAGCGGCTCGCCGCTCGCCGCTCGGAGGGCGCCGGCTGTGCGCAGCGCACCGGGCCCCGGCCAGCGCTCGTCCCAGGCCCTATAAGGTTCCCTGAGATCCTGGCGTCGCACTTCCCGTCGCGCCGGGCGGCTTCGCACAGGCTCGGGCCTGTAGGGGCCCTCACGGGTCGACGCGGCCCGAGGAGCGCGGCAGGGAGACTGGGATCTGGGGCTCCCGCCGTGATTTTTGGCGACGCCGTATGTGTTCGCAGCGTCCGAGGTCGGGGGAGGCTTCGAACAAAATTGGTGCGGCCCGGTCTGCGCCATCTTGGGCCTTCAGATGCCGTTTCTGGCTGCGGGGCAGTCAGTGACAGGACCATCAGGGATGAAAAACTGGCCTAAGAGAGAAGGTTGAGATATCCGGGAGGGGGAGGCATCGAAAAAATTGGAGCGCTGGATTTCTGGGTTCCTCGCCCCCCCTTTACCTTTCCACTCCACCGCTCCCCTCGTTCCCGTCTCCGGCGATGGGTTCGGGATCCCGTGGACCGGCTTGCCGCTTCGACCGCGCTGAGCCACCAGCGCTGCGACCAAAAAAGTCCACATGCTGCTGCTCCTGAACGTCTCATGTGCACATAATCACCACCATCACCATCGTCATCATCACGATCATCATCGTCACCGTCGCCGCCGTCTCGACATCGTCATCACAATCATCATCGTCGTCATAGTCATCATCATCAGCTGCAGCATCATCATCAGCGTCACAGGTTCCTGGCACCAGCAGCACCGTGGGTGTCATTGTCGTCGTCATCCTAACCTCTTCCTTCTCCGCCTCCTCCTCCTCCTCCTCCCCCTCCTTCTCACCCTCCTTCTCCTTCTCCTTCTCCTGCTCCTCCTCTTCCTCTTCCTCCTCCTCCTCCTCCTCCTCCTCCTCCTCCTCCTCCTCCTCCTCCTCCTCCTCCTCCTCCTCCTCCTGGCACCTGTGCCACTGGGACCCCTTCCCAGGAAAACAGGCGGGTAGCAGCCCGATCGTCACCCTTGTTTGCCCGTAGGGGGCCAAGGGGAGAGAAAATTGCTCTCGTCGCCAGCGGCCACCCATGGAGTGGGTGGTGGGTAGGTTGGGCGTCGGAGCACGGACTCCGGCGCCCCCTACCCCGAACAGGGCGCGCGGAGCACGGTCTCCTTGCGCGTCCTGTTTCGCGCACTTAGCACGCCACGGGGGCATGGCCCAGACCGTTGGCGCTGCTATGGCTGCTGGAAGCAGCAGCCGCCCTGGTCGCTCGTCGTGCGGCGCCCTGGGGCATTTCAGCACGGGGTCCTGTTGAAAAAAAAATCCTCCTCCTCCTCCTCCTCCTCCTCCTCCTCCTCCTCCTTCTTCTCCTCCTCCTCCTCCTTATCCCCCTCATCCTGCTAATTCTTCTCCTCAGAAAAACGGGACCCTCGACCCTCCCAGAAGCCATCCTGAACTTTTCTTTTCGACGCGACTCTAAACGTGGCGACGAGAAGACGCCAAGAGGCCCAAAAAGGACGAAAACGATGAGGATGGCGTCCGTTCTCGACTGGCTCGGCACAAAATGGAGCTTTCAAAAATCCGCGAGGATTTCTTGGATCAGCGCTGGAATCACCCTCCTGGCGCGCGGAGCGCGCCAGTGGCGGCGCCGCAGGCGCCGCCCAGGGGGCCCAGCGCAGATCCAAGAAATCTGCGTGGACCTCCAGAAAGGCTATGTTGTTGCCTTTGTTATGCCCTTCGATCTTCGCTCCTGGACGGAGCACGCAGCAGGGTGGCGAGATCGTGACGATGAACACCCCGAAGCCCTGCGCTCTGCAACAAGGGCGGGAGAGCGCCAAGAATCGGCTACACCCAGGAGTGACCCTGAGCAATTGGTGCGCGGCCAAAAGAGGCCCTTTGGGGACGGCGCCAGGCGCGCAAGCCCGCGTTAGAACCGAACCTCGGACAGAAGAACGTCCCTCAAGAGCACAAGAACCTCCGCCGGCCAAAAACGCACAGAACACTCAAGGGTATCATCCCCAGGATGCGCAAGAACATCCAACAGACACGAATGAAGGGGCCCGAGGACACACAAATCAATACACACATATTAAAAGATTCCCCATAGTTTCCCATATGTTCTGGGTGTCTGTCTTCCCCCCCCCCACTTCCCATATCTTCCCATATTTTTCTGGGGGATCGCCAATGAATTGTGTATGTGTGCTTCTTTCCCTCCGGAACGAAGGACATCAG